ATAGACCGCCGCAAGTCGGCAAGCCAGAGTGGAAAGGCTCGAAAGGTTGTCACCATCTATAAGCAACGGCGGCAACGAGACAACCGGAAAGCCGGATGTCTGGTTGCCGCCGACATTTATATATGGCTGAAGCTGTCCAGAGTTCTGTTGTCATCAGGTCATTTGAGGACGGACACAATCCTGGGGTAACTAGCACTTAAAAGCTCCGCTCTAAGATGCACTCAATGCATTCACACTTAAATCAGTCATACTGTGAGAGTAAATGACACTGAAGAAAGACGCGAGCGGTAAACTTCCGTTTCATTTTTTTTTGTTTTGCTTTGTTTAGGCAGGCGGTTTCAATGAAAGGGAAGCTTTCCCTTTCACCTAGTATAGAACTTAAGCTCATGTTCTCAATGACGTACTTTTATTTTCAATCTGACAGGGCTGCAGTACGTAAGAGAGGAATACATCTCTATTTTAGGTTATAAACTAAGTTGCAAAGTTGGAAAGCTGGCGTGCGCGGTAAGCTCATGACAATATAAAATTGTGACTGTCGTCTTTTATCCATAGTTGGCGACATGTTAAGAAACTTGAGGAGAAGCTCCTCTCACTCATTCCCATTTTGCGGTGCGAACGCCAGAGAGGATGCGATGTCCTCTCGATCGATTGTTCTGCTAAAGTACGAAGGGGTTGGAGCGGCTTCCGCTCAACTCTTAAACCTTCATCGCCTAGAATTATTGCGAGATTTCCTCCACCACGGCACATGGTTGAAAAAACCCCGGGATTTTCTCAACCATGTGCTTTCTGCTGCGGCGTGTTGGTCGGCTTTGCATCAAGCAAGGTTACGCATGCCTGCCCGCGTGCTCGCATGCTTGGCGTGAGTTTTTGGAGCCGAGCGGCGTGAGCTTCTCGCTCTGTTGTTTCCGTCGGGCAGTCAGTCGGCCTGCAATTATGTGTGAACCTTGATTTTCGATGAGATTTCTTTGAAAAATGATTTGACTTATGACTCTGCAAACGACATTGTCCACGGATTCACAGAAGACGGTGTTGAACGGTCTTTCAAACAGATCCTTGGTTGTTGCGTCGTGCTCTCTGGAATTTCCAGGAGACAAATTCAGCCACTTGCATACATTGTTGTGCACACTTCAACACCATTTTCTATTATCCGCAGTCTCCTCATTTCTCTCATTGCAAGAGCTTAAGACTAGCTTCACTTTGGTTTGTGATTAGGGGGATTAAAACGTAAACTTGGCCAACCAACTCATGTGTCTGTGGGTAAGCCGTATTTTTTTTTAAAGTTGATAACGAATATGTTTACTTTATCTTTGATGTTCCGCACATTATCAAAAAAACCAGGAACAATCTCCAAGCACACAAATTTTGCATTGCAAATGAGGTCATTGAGTGGTCCCATATTGTCAAACTTTATCGTTCTAGCCATGAGATGAGGTTGCGATTGGCTCCCAAACGTAATGAGAGACACATTTTTAAAACCCTTTCAATAACATGAAAGTAAAACGTGCCGCACAGGTAATGAGTGCCTCAGTCTTTCTTGCAATCCTATTCATTGTTTATGCCAAGGAGCTTTCTGAGGCAGCCATGGATACCAATACCACCCATTTCTGCGATAGAATGGACAGCTTTCTAAATAGCTCACAATTCAAGAAGACAAGGCAGAAGTTGCGTCATGCTATTTTGAAAGGAGAATCTGAGGTATTTGATTTTCTTCACCTGGAACTCGGATGGATTCCTGCATGGAAGTTCGAAAGGAGGGTGCAGTCACAAACCATCATAGGGTGGCACGTTACTATAAACAGTGTCCTCATGCTCTGGGAGGAGCTTTCAAACAGCCATGACTCTAAGTTCTTAACTACACGACGCCTGCAGCAAGACCCACTTGAGGACATTTTTGGAGCTATATGACAAATGCATGGCTGCAATACAAACCCAAAGGTGTGTCAGTTCACCTCAGGTCTCAAACAGATAGGGATAAAGGAACTGCTCAAAGTGTCGAACAATGGAAACATGAAGGATGACAAGACTGACTTCTTCAAGGAGTTCCCAATATGTTTGCATCATAAAATTTCAATTGCAGGCAATGTGGAATGTCTTCCAATTGATAACTTCCCGCCACTAGAAAATATTTCTGAGCTGACATCAGACATCAGGGTTAACGCATTTGATGACTCGTCCACTTGTTACGTTAGGGGCATTTTGATCAAACATTTCCTTGAACTGACAACCCACAGCTGTGGCTGTTCTCAGCCGCTGAGAAAGAGTCTGAGAGCTTGACCAGGCCTCACCAGCACTTTCTTGTGCTTAAAGCATATCACGTGCCTTGAAAGCTCTTAGGGAATCTAATACACCATCCCAGGCTGCCTTGAATTTCATTCAGCAACTAGAAAATCGCTTTCTTGCCCTAATAAAGAGCGTGGTACATTTTTGAGGTGTGTGTGCTGTCTTGTATTGCACACTTTCAGATCTGGGTAGTTTTGGCATTGTTCAGAGTCCCACAAATGGTTTTTAAAAATGTTTTGCAGCATACCCCTACTGAAAAATCTCATATAGTTCTTATATAACTTTATATAAGAAGTTATATGAGGAGTATGAGAAGATATAAGAACATATGATGCCCATATGAGGAGCGCCAGTCTCTTATAAGAACTATATGAGGAAAGATATTTTGCTTATATAGTTTTATGAGATGGATATGAGAACATGTATTTTCAAATAAGAGTTTTATCATATGCCATATGAGCCATACAAGAAAAAGAAAGTTCTTATACGGGTCAAATGTGGAATAAGAAACTTATATAAAATCATATGAGAAAAATTGCTCCTCATAAGTGGCATAAAAAAAAAAGTTTGTCATCCAAAGCAAATGAGAATATTCGGGTTTCCTATATGGCATATGAAATTTTTTTCTAACAGAGCCAGATCTAGACACCATCATTTTGACTGGAATTCGGCCCCTATCCGTCAATGTATTGATCTCAAATGATATTAAACTGGAACTGTAGTTATAATATGCAAGAAAAAAACACTGAAAGTGTTTCTGCTAAAACATTCCCATTTATCTGTTTTGCCATGGGAGGTTTGGCATTTAGAAAAAAAAAAATCCCCTTGGTCCTGCGATTTTTATGGGAAAATGTCATCTACATGCATATAAAAAATCTGGTTATGTTTCAGGACCACCTCAAGTTTCGTGTCATTAAATCGAAGAAGCAAACCTACGTTATAGAAGAAACTCGAAATATTTACTCAGAGTGAATATTTAAAACAACTCAAATAATAACCTCTGTTGAGGTTCTGTTAGATATCCAACCTTGAAAAATGGCCCACGAGGACACTTTGTTATAACACTTCGCAGCAAGTTTGTATAAATGCAGAGACAACTGACCTTCAATTTAAAATTCCTTTTCGTGGCCAATTCACTTCTGCAACTAGGGTCATGCAGGAAGTCAATGCCTTTCTAGGCACTATGGGGTTCTAATCATCAATAAAGGCATTGTTCTGGTTCGTCATCGCTAGTTTCTGTGGCTTGACCGCTTGGCAAGACACAGGCTACCCTAATATGGCATCTGAGCAGAGCATCTATATGATATGTGCTTCAGAGCTTCAGGTTCAAAATGGCATACATAGGTGTGAGAAAGGAATGTTTGCGAGAAGTCATTATTACGTATCTTTCTGAACATGCCACATGAGTGGCTAACTACCACTCAATAAAAAGCATAGATTTGTGGTTCATTGCAAAGCAGGGCTTTTTATTAGGCAAACTTATCACAGCAAATAAAAAGCAAACTACTAAGCCAAATTAGACAAAGATTATGGAAATGTAGCATTGCTATATCTTGTCTCATCCTACAATGGACTAAAGCCAAGGCTAAGAGCTGCGATGTGCGTATACAGGCGCAACACACCAGATGGATCCAACTGGCTCATAGTTGGGCCTAGCGACTCGTAGCTTTGGCTTTAGTCTATCGTAGGGTGAGACAAAGTATAACTGCATTCAAAACGACATACCCTATAACATTGAATAGATGGCAAGAGCATATGCAATCGCATTCAACAGGTGAATTTAAATGAAACGCATTTAGAAAGAAAAACACCAAAAAACAAAATTCTGGAAAAAAAAAATTATATCTGTCGGCACAACCACCTTTAAATCATTTGAAAAAGACAATAATTAAAAGCCGCAGCTTCTTAAACACCCAAACATCTTCTCAACAAACGTGGCACAGCAATAAACCAGGAATATGAAAAGAAATATCACACATGAAAATTACGACACCTCATTGACAGACAAAAAATGCTGATAAAGCAGACCAGGCTCTGGTCTGGACAGCAAGCGAAAAGCTGATTAGAAATACATGTTTAAAGGGGCGATGCAACGATTTTTGTATTTTGCACAAAAACCGCTTAGAACGGATCCCTGACGTTAATGACCTGTGAAATACCCGTTCGTTTTTCATCACACACAATCGAAGTCGCAGAAAAAAACAAAGAAAAACGAACAGAGTTCACCCCCTCAACTCGCAGCCAGAACAAGCGGCCACGTTATCTGGAGCCGATTATATGTCGCCAATGTTGATCATAGCCATGAACTGGGGGTGGCAAGGCACAGGGCATGCGCTGAGTTCCAGACATTGTTATGGCTCGGCTGTTGTCGTCATTCCAGCGATTGGACACGGGCCACTACCCGAATCCTTCTTGAGCTATCGATTATCACGAGCCCAAATTGAGTGTCCACGCCATGCTCGGGTTCAATCTATGAGCCGCATTAAAATATAGTAACTAAGCAGTACTGCTACCGCCCGGTTACGTCATCAGGTTTTGCGAAGGAGAGATTGAATGAAAACACTCGATTTTGTCCTCGAAATTAGAGCGCCACAAAGGAGTTCCTTGGTCAGTGGCGTGGCGTGCGAGTATTCTTGAGTCCCACTAGTGCCAGTAAGCTTGCGTAAAGTGAAAAACATTCCAATTGAATATCGTTGCACCGCCCCTTTAAGGCATGCAACCTAGTCGCGCTCAATAATGTTAGGAAGGAAGCAGATATATGACCTCTCAGGTGAAAACTTAATCTGAAGGCACACCTGAGACACAGCATGTGGCTTCACTACAACAAATGTGTCGTGAGGCACAGCGACCACTTCCCTGATGTGAGGGGGGAAGATGGAGCCACCATCTTTGAAGGTGAGTTCTTTGCACAGTAGCACACCCTCATCACTACCACAACCCCTTATATGAAGTGCCCTCCAAATGATGACAACCCTGCCATCTCCACACTGCACAACTGTCGAGTTGCTTTTTGTAGCACGTGTGTACTGTGCAGTGTGGCAGAGCTGTCCCGATAGCACCAGTCGCCCGTGCTCGATCACAGACGATGGGCAGAAGCCCAAGCCTTCTTGGAGCGCAGCAGACTCCTCTCTAGAAAGATGACCCGAAGGCATAGCATTGCCAAGCATGACGCCTCCGTCAACATAAAACGCTTCTTTCAAATGGCTGTGGCCAAGCACCCTGTTGCAGAACAGCCTCGTGTCTGCTGGAAGCAGTTCATGACTTAGTGCTGCCTCCAACTCTTGCGACATGACTGCCCTCTCTACAACCTGCAGAGGAACTCCCTTTGCCGCAGTTATATGACGCAAAAGTCGGCCATTGCCTGCCTCAAAAGTGAATGCCGAATTTGCCCACAGCGGCCCCATGTGTCGGACGGAGTTGGCCAGGTGCAGCAACTGATGCATGTTAAAAGTCATGGCCGTCTCCCCGTAGAGCTTTGGGACTCGTGCCACGAACTTCTTGAGCAGCTGTTCTGAAAAGAGCAACGTAGAGGTTTTTAAAGCAAAGCATAAGAACATTTAGAAATAGAATAATTGTTCATAGAGCTAGGACCTTGAAGCTCATATACTCGCACATGAATCTTTCTTATATAGCTGGGAGGACATCTAAGCGTCTTTCGAACTGAATCTTCTAACATTCTTTTATATTACAGGAGCATGTTCCCAGGAAATGGCATGAACTAGAGCTAAATAATTTTTAAGTTTCACAACTTGCTGCAGAGAGGCAGCATGATAAAAGTTGCCAAAATAGCTGCAGTTGGGTGGCTGCATGGGTAACTACCATACTCTAGAAGAATTGAAGGTTGGGCTAGTATGTAGTTATTCATCCTGATTATAAAAGTGCACAAAAAATGTGGGCAAAAAAGAAACGTATGACAGACAAGCACTCACTCGCAACTGGCCTGAGAGACAACATAGAAAATAAATTCCCCTAGCTCCCCTTAGACCAATCTCATCAGCCAGTTTAGGTACGCCACCGCTGCCGCAATGCATGGGAGAAACTTTCTTTCTTCACGTCCAACAGCCCCGTTGGGGGTGTGCGCAAGCAGGGCGTGAGGTGCCACGAGGGGCCTCGTGCACTGCAGCCTGCTTTTAGTGAACTGAACTTATAGCAGCGTTACTCAAGCGTCGAACGGCTGGTGAGATTGTTGTATTGCTTGTAAAAGAAAAACCTGCTGCCTTTATTTCTTCAGTTCATTATTAAAACTTTTCCCCACAACGTGGAGGCATGATTTGTTAAAAGTGCACTAAAGATGTTTCTGAGATTGTCTGTTCTTGGTGATAACTCATTCTACGGGCTGTAAGCGTCGTGAAATTCCAAAAATTATGTCCATGCGACGTCCATTTTGCTACTAAAATGTGATTGAAGTTCATGCTACGCCCCTTTTTGAGCAGAAGAATCTAACCAGGATGCAAAGCACGGAACCCAGCAGAGGCGCCGGAGGCGTGACAGCGGGCGCTCATCTGTCAACCATCTGTCAGCAGACTTGCGGTTCAAAATGGGCTCAAAAATGAATGGCAATTAAATACACTACACCTTTTATTTTGAGAGTTTCAAACACTGTCAGGCCACCTTTAAAATGTCCAGTGTATTTTTGAGCATAGATGGAGGTAACTGTGCTTTGTGAAAACAAACTCAAAAGTAGGAAATCCATATTACGATAAAAACAGTCTTCTAACATAATTTTCTTTCTCAGATTGAACGCCTATTTGATTAACTTAGCTCGTGCAAGCCCAGTTTGCACTAGTTTATAAGGAAGACTGCAAATGTTTGAACGTCATCAGTCTACTAACAATTTCAGAGCCATTTCAGAGACACAAACTTGCACCTGAAGTTGCACTCTGATGCAACTTCCTGCCATTTTTGGCTAAAGCAGGTTCTGAATCTTCTACATGCAGTATCATTCATGGGCCATCTGGAAAAAGCATCTTTCATGTTTTGCAGCGTCACTTGTTGAGGGCTTGTGCAAACCTTTGTTCTCATTACTTTCTCTGTGCTTGGGCCTGCCTGCAACTCCGTTGTTTCAGAATGGCGAGCCTACGCTATCGAACCTCACAATGTTGAATCTGTATTGGGATACAGGATCTGATGACAGTGAAAATGAGAAATTTGCAGTTCTAAATAATGGTAATGACGAGTAGTTACCACCTAAAGTTGCTATATGCCGTGTTAGTGTACCCTTGTGGCAACGGCGACCCTCCAGAAATATGTTTTTGTTGCCCGAAAACCATCTCCACCGACTTGTTCTATGACAGCCAGAGGAAACAGCCTCTCTCACCACTCCATTTCGTAGCGACACAAGCGAACAGTGTGCCATCTTTGTTTTCCCCATCCGTCAGCGCTGTCAGGTCGTCGCTGAAACATGCTTCTACAAAGTGTCTGTCCGTTCGACAGACCTAGGATTACCACGGGACGACGTTCATCAGTAACAGTGATTGGAAATATTGAAACAAGAAGTACTTTCTGCTCCTTTATTTATCGAAATGTTCTTCACTTGCTAGTAGATTGGCTAAGCCCAAAAGGGGAAAGAAATGACGTTGGTACTTCCAGCAGTTTCGCCGGCACATAAAGGGATTCTGCGTTTTGAGTTTGCATTGCTCCTGTGAAAAGGTTGCACTTGGACTGTGTGTAGCGTGTAGTGACCTTGAGTAGCGTGACGTTTAGCTTAGCTGGGATTGTTTAAAAAACAAGTCCGAAGGTCGTGCTGCTACTGTCTCATAATAATAAACATTTTTCAATGCTGTCCGTTTACTTTTCCAGTCTTTTGTGATCGCTGCGTGCGTAAAGCACTTGTGTGAAACATTGTCACGTGGCAGCCACAAGATCATTTTCTCAAACCTAGTACAAAAAGGTTTTACTGGTGGTGGAAGGTATATGCTCCAGCCATTAAACAATGTCTTGCGGCGCTCGCTTTCTTGCATGCATTTTACCACATCAAGCGTTTCCGAGAAAAGCCAACATTACTCTGCATGCCTTCGTGACTGGTTAGAGGCGTGGGACGTTTTTTCTGGACATTTTAAAAAGTAAGATTTTATGCATTTTCTTAACATTTTTGTTTTTGTAAAAGTAGTTGTTATTGAGTTTTGAACATTACAAAACAAAGAAATAGAGTTTGCAAAGTGTGGAAACAACAAAAAAACAATGCCTAGTTGGCACGGCCCCTCCGAGGAGCAGCGCCACGATCCCCACTGGCATCATCTGCTATGACTTTCAACATGGGTTCGGTTGTCAGCTCGCCATCCTCCTCTTCAAGGCGGCAGAGACTGGTTGAATGTAAAGTCACTATAAAACGACGGTACGGATGTCTTCAGAGACGCTGCAGCGCTTCGCACATACCATTGGAGGGGGTTATACATCTTGGAGTCCTTTTTCTTGCTTGATTTTAATTTTAATTTGCTTATAACTTCCGATATAATGCAAAATTTGTCAAAAAAATTGTTTCTTTATGTTACTCGTTATCTGAGGTTAACCTGATCACAAGTTTCAAACCAGTAAAAAAATCATTGAGGGGCTGTTTAGAAAGAAAAGCAAGCTTTCAATTTTCTTTAAAAAGATTGGCTCTTACCAGCACAGTTGATCAGTGATGGAGTGATCTCTGTCCGAAGCAGGATGTGGACGGCCTGAGAAAGCCGAGAAAAGTGCCTCCAGTACCGGGAGGGCAGGACATCAAGGGTGCAGGGTAGGCAGTAGTACAGCAGCCACAGCCGCCACTCACTAGCTTTCCAGAATGCCCTGTCAGCAAGGGATCTCGGGAGGCGGGTGAAACAATGAGGAGGCTTGATGGTGAGCAGCCGTTCATTTAGTGTGCTGAGAACCGCTGGGCGACCTGCATTGAGAATTACAAAAAATAAAACCAACATGCTTTTGAGCAATGGTTAGTTAAACAAAATATTGTACACACAAATTTCCAATGAAAAAAGAGTCATCCATTCAAAAAGCAAATGTGAGATTATCACTTATCGATATTACTACTGTATTTTTTGAGTATACATGTTTAACAGTTGATGTTGTGCAGGCTATCTAAAGCTGCAGATTATGCAATAAATTGTTTCAAGATCCCTTGTTTTTACTAGACCGGTGCGGTATGTGTGTCGTGATAACAATATTTTCTGTCGAGCTCATGTAAGCAACACAAGGTCATACTGTCTGCGTATGTTGCCTCCGATTTAGCTATTTTCTGGGCGACACGTTGTTCACTTGCGTGCGCCCAATGGAACAATGTAGACCAAACTAAATCTTGAAGACAAGCTCTATCATTGACCCACAAATGAGGACCCCAACTCCTTACGAAGTCCCCAGAACATGCAAGCAGCAACTGAAGTGCATCGCTACGCTATCTGCTGGCGGCTCACTTGGTTTCGAGACCACAGAAAAGCACATGCCCATCCGACTGTGCTTGCCCCAGAGTCTGGCACAACATGCTACTCAGTGGCCAGTGTGATGAGCATCTGGTATGGATGCCACCAATAGAGATAGCGCTTGCAGTTTTGTGGTGCATACCGCCAAGCAGGTGCGCCCAGCTTTACAATGAGCTTGGCTTATTGCTCAGAAACTTGCCATGACTTGTTGCTTTATAGATGCCATTCAGAAAGAGTGATACTCACTATATCTCAGTTTCAAACAAATAGCCAAGCTTGCAAAAGGTACATGCAGCAAGAAAAATAAAAGAAGAGGAAAGAAACACACAGTCTGAAGCAAACCTCAGTTCGATCTGGAGCCGAGTGCGCCTACTCAGCATTATACACTGCAAAGCTGCAAGCACTATCTCCAGTAGTGGTATCTGTAGCAGACACTTAACACGGCGACTGGCAAAGCAGCACCTTACTATAGATTCTGGGGCAAGCCCCGTGTCGCACAGGAGTAGATGAACACACATGCTTGCAAGCACTTCCATCACCTTTCTGTGGCCTCTGAACCATGTCGGCAGGTGATGCAATGATGCACTTCAGCCGCCATTCGTGCGTTTGACACATTTTGCACTGGCAGCTTGAAGGTTCTGCGGCACGTCCACAAAGAGCCCGGGCGTGCTCACTCAGTTCTCTCCTGCCCTGCCCTGCCCTGCCCTGCCCTGCCCCCCCCCCCCCCTCCCCCCCCACCAGACATGGCCAGACAATGGAAGGTTTGCTTCCCGTCTGAGGAGTGGGAACGGCAACCGCGCCACACTGAGGAGTATAGACGGAGAACCACAGAAGAGAAAAGCAAAACACAGGACCATGCCTATTATGCATGAGAGGCAATTTGTATGTGCCAATGGTGTCCCCACGTGTACAAGAAAAAGGCACAAAGAAGGCAGCAAAGATGGGCCGAAGATGCTTCCTTCTAAAGCGCGTGTTCCAACAAAGCAACAGCTGCTGCTGCCAATCACAGCATGCTTTGAGTCGTCGCCCCCCAATTTTTAGTTTGCTCTCATGTACTCATGATTAATTGTAGCTACTTTCCAGCAGTATTTTCAGTATTCACTAATTCAAACGAGCCGTTACAAGAGAAAGAACTCTCTGGAAAAACCCAAGAAAAGAAAATTTGCTAGTAGTTATCTTTACGAAAAGGCTTACCAATGTAGAATCTCTGCTCGGAATTTGACGATCCTAGATGGAGCTCTGTCAACTGCTTTGTGACACCGAGTAGCGCACAGTGCATGTAATCAACAGGGTACCCCCAGACGGGGTCGAAGTTGGGCACACTGGCAAGCGCAGATGGTCCTTTGATGCCTTCTACAGGCTCCCGGAATCGCTCTGCAAGTTTTGCGTCCCTTGATATGGACTCCGCTGTTCTCTCAGCCGGCTCATCCTCTTCTTGCAGGTAGCGTATGCATCCTGCAAAAATAAGAAGGTGCAATTATAGCATATGAATCTCATCATTGTTACTGACAATTCCACAGCTAACACAGGTATCTCAAAAGCAAACCTTTTATCTGAGACACCAAAACTCCCATGAATAGACATATAATAGGCAATGCAACGTTGTGGGTTTTCATTTTACACACTTTGCACAACAATACTGGCACAAGCGTGATACAAGTATACTCACACATAATACTACTGAGCCGCCAGTCTCACTTTCGCTACATAATTTCACGAGTACACATACAATATTCCATTCCTTCTAGACTTTCCGAAACGTGCTTATGCAGAGCATTCCTTTTTCTTTCGATCAAAATTTCTTAAAAAAGAGCGCTAGAGTTAAGTGAACGCAGTTTTCACTTTGTGTTTGCAAGGCTCGGCAGATATTAGATAAGACGATAACCGTCACAGAACCAAAATCCGTCAAATTTTTAAGTGCTTTATGAGCCATGTTGTAGTTTCAGTTTTAAAGGCAGTCAAAATAAGCTGGCTTTTTGGAATGCTGGTCGGAGCGGCAAAAATCCCGCATCGGGCGCCCTTGTCTCGATAAGTCATTTAATCTGGGACTGGAAGACTGCCGCAATTTCATATGCGGGGGAGAATGGTAAAAAAGAAAAACCACAAATGTAGGGTGAACTTAACAACCTTCTTTACATGTCTGGCTGTAGGGTTTGATGCACCATCTAAGAGAGTTGTGTGCCATTCATTGTCTCCTTTTCGTGTTGAGAATAAGGGGGAAAAAATTGTTTTAATTTTTTGTGAGTTTTGTGACTTGCTCTCTTTCTTTTCATTCTTTTTTCCAGCAAACTTCAAAACTATGAGCCATCTTCGCAAATTCCATGTCATAATGTGTCAAGTGACCTTAAACAAAAAAAGACAAAAACAATGGCTGGCGTGCGGCTCTCTCATATGAAGCATTAAAGCGAACAGGCTGATGTACAAACAGTGCCACCAGGCTCGCCCTAGATGTGCCGCTTATCATTATTACCGTCCCCCCCTGTTCACGAAATCACAAGAGTCCTTCTAGCCTCGCTCTCAATGGAGTATCGCGACGGGCATGCCTCATATGGGAGTTTTGCCACTCCGGCCAGCGTCCTGACGAGCCAGCTCATTTTGATGCCCACTGTGCTAGCACCTCATACATAAAAAATATACATAGCTTGAACTGATGTAATTTGGTCTGCCATGCTGGTTGCTAAACTTCAACGCTTGACTGTTTTACACCATAGAAGTGGTACTTTGAGGCAAGCAATAAGAAGCAGTAACCCCCAGCACTACACAATTATGTCAGATAAAGGAGATGTACAGAGTGCCAGCCTACCTGCCACATGCTCCCCTTTGATCAGACACCATGGGCATCCAAAATATCCAGAATACAGGACATGGTTCTGCACCGCTGCACGTGCAGGAGCGTCTGCACAGCAGCAGATCAGGTGAACCTGTGACTTGTAGTCTGCTGTCCAATACGTCCACTGGATCGGGTCCATGTCCATCACGGCATCAGCAAACTTGCTCACGAAGAGCTTCATGTTGGGGTGTTTTTTCCCGAACCACAGTCCGGCAAGAGTTGTGTTGCGGAACCGTTCCTCTGGTGGACGTTCACTGACTGTGAACTGGATCGGCCATATGGAAGAGCGGGACGACTTGAACACAGGGCTCCCGTCGGTATTTACGGTTAATGTCAAGTCTCCAGGCTTCACTGCAGCGGCCTCCTTGAGGTTTCGGTACACACAACCACTGGAGATGTCCGTGACCGATGAGCTCGAAAGCGACGTCTCAATGGCGTCAAGATTCTGACTGAGAACCTCTTTAGTTTTTGCGATTACGTGCTTCACTTGCTGACTGATATCCAGAATCGTGAAGTAGCTGCGTCCTGCTTCCTCGTCAGCTGGAATGCTGCACACAGTGCACGTCGACTTTCCAGCGCCGTCATCTTGAAGAAGCCCAGAGCAGTTTGCACGCTCACAGTAGTAGTACTTCTTTGAAACTGTGGATGTTTTTTGGCTCCACAGCTTTCGGAATAGGTACTTGCTACCTGGCAAGACGTTCTGATTTTGGCCAAACATCTTGTTTATTAGCTTCAGAATGTCGTCCAGCGCACCCAATGTGAAATTGTGTGCGTGAACTATTGACATGAGCATGGCCACGGCACTCGCTTTAGTCGTGCTGGAGTGGGGCAGAGTTGACGTGCCGAATTGGGCGAAGCTCCTTCCCATTAGATCTTCACGGTCGTCAGAAACAAAGTCTCCAGGAGCCCTGGAGCTATCGTCATCTTCCGGTATGAGCTCTTCAGTGGAGGCTTCGCACGACGGCCCAAGACTGTCAGAATCTCCGAAGTCTGACAGATCGTCCCAGTCTGATTGTGGGTCAGCACCCCCACCGTTTTGATCTTCCCAGTGGTGTTCGTCTTCGGCCAAAGACCCGGTCGATCCAACGCCATCATCGCCGGGGCGCTGTTGCGAGTTGTCGACAGCGATGCTCTCCGGCACTAACCGCTGCTGTTCGTCGGTTGGTGTTGCCGGTTGCTGCAAGCTAACGCCTGGCGCTGAGTGCCCCGGTGGGTCAACAGATGGGACGCTTAATGCAGCTGCGGAACCCAAAGCAGATTCGGCTAGGCGTGCTTTCTTTTGGTGGTGGTAATGCCGCGTAGATTTCGGAACGACGTACTCCGCACCCTTTTCGAGGTACTTTTTCCTTCTTGTCGGTCGGCCGGTTAGGTTCTCCATTTCAACTGTTACCAGAGAGTCATGTCGTGGTTCAGTCCTTCGGATGCGCTGTAAACATGGAACTGAAGCCTCGCAAAACAATACGAAGGCGGGCGACCGACACAAGGGAAGATACAACACCGCAGCAGAACCGGAAACCGGAAAACCTAACAACCAGGGACCGGCTTGAGCCTGGATTAGGTTGGATCCGTGGGTCGAATTGTACACATATTACGCAGATCAAACAATGTGCCTAGTACATACCATTAAATAAAATTACGAAGCAAAAGTTTGTATAAAATAATAATTTAATATAATTCGCTGAAGTTCAAATTGGCCGATATTTGAGCTTTCGTTAACACCAGGTGTCCACCTAGCTACACCGGCGTCACTGTTGTTCTAGAACAATCTGTTTAATAATAACGACTTAAATAGTTCCTTAAATTTTTATTTAATACTTCTGAGTTCAGCAATTTTCGTGGTAGTATAAATTGTCAGCACTTCCCACCTTTAGCCGATAATTAAATTCGCGACTACGGCAACTACAACTTGGCCACATTGATAGTTTTTTTTTTTTTTTTGTCGCTTCGTTGGCTTCATTTGTTCTTTGTTTCAGTGTTATCATACCGTGTTTGTAGTGCTTTCTTTCTTGTTCCGCGCCTGCTCAACGATCGCTTCTGGCTGGTTCGTTGTGGCGTTCTTTCGTCACCAGCGAGCATGTTCGCGTACGTACGTTATGAGGACAAGCACAAGGCCGTGCTACCCACGACTTTGATCAAGCGCTTCACGCCGGGAGACGTGGATGACTTCGACCACGAGAAGTCCAAGATGGTCTTCTGGGTAGACGAGAATGGTAGTCAGGCCGGATACTACAAAGCAAAAGTCGTCATGCTTGGAGGTAAGTTAATGCTGGCACATAATTCATCGAGGCGGGCACCGATCACAAAATCTGCGAATGTGATGCCGCTAGTGTGTACAACATGGCGGCGCCCATCGGCAGCCATTTCGGACACAGATGACTTGGGCAAGGCTCCACTCGCGAGCCGACCCTGTAGGTCAATGTGATTGCAGACTCGAGTGGCTGACACCTCTACACACGCGTTATCCTCCGGGGTCGGCCCGTCAGCTGCATGAGTCTTTATTGATAACGTGTAGTCCGCAGGTTGAAGGAATCAGCAGCGAACTTCGTAAAGATGCCTTGCACTATCGTAACAGGGCACTGCAAAAGGGCTTCCTTGGCACGCGCAGCCAATCTTTAACAGCGTTAATGTCACGATGTGGAACGCTTACGGAGGCTCGTGACAACGTACCGTACGCTGCGTTAATAGGACGGCTGTCACATGCCTTGCACGTGACTGCCGTCATGTGCATTGCATGTGGTTGTGTTATTGACCTTGTCTAAAAGAACTGTACTTCTATTCAGAAACCGAAGACCTCTTGCTGCGGTCAATGATCAAGCAGAGGATTGCAATTCCTCGCATCATCCACGATAACCGGGAAGGACAACCAATGGAGGTAATTCTGAGTTCGTAGCATTTTTCCCGATCGCTTTCGACTGTGTTTCTAAAAAAAAAAAAAAAAAGGTTCCTGTTTTTTTGTGTTGTTATTTGCTCTTGGACAGTGGTTTATAAATAGAGTAAAGCTATACGCACTACGTCCTGCATCTTGACCGGACGTGACTATATGTGCAACGCGAAACTCCTATCAAAGGATTGGTTACATTCAGTTTCCAAAGGGGTGGCATAGCTTAGTGGTAAGGTGTCTGCTTCATGTGCAGCGGAGCCCGGTTTAATTGCCAGTGTGGGCATACTTTTTTTTTGCTGAGCATTTGGCGATACTTACGAAATTTTTTTTTTACAATTAACACTAGAAAAAAGAAGAAAAAAAAAAGGTTGATGAAACTTTGCTGAGCTAAATGGAATGGCACTCAGTTTGCAGTTACAGCGGGGCTTGGGTTGCTGGCTGCATGCCGCCAGGCGGCGTGTATGGGGGGAGGGCCAAGCGGGTTAAAGGTATGCTGAACCAAAATCTGGATTCCCCCAAAACATGCGCGAAAAGCATGCAACAGGATGCTACAAACACCAAAACATCACTCATACAGCGATATCTCAAACGGATGACCGTATTTTTTCAAAAAAACGAGGCGCATTTGGCATGAATGTTAACGTCATGTTTCTCCGAGAAGGAGGGGGAACGGCCTCGCGTCTTTTCCGCCTCGTTGCCTTGAGGGAGCGAAGAGAGGAGCTAACTAGGCATCTTGACGTCACACGCTTCGTCGGCCTGGTTCGATCTAGACTTCTTTTTCCAAAAATACGGCCGTCCATTTGAGATATTGCCTTACTAGTAGTGTTGTAGGGATTGTAGCGCCCCGTCTACATCTCCAGCATTGTTTTTTTGAAATCCAAATTACGGTTCACCATCCCTTTAATAGTTTCGTAATTAGCAGCTGCACACTGTCGCCGCAAGGTGTGAACGCAGGCGGGGGTCTGGCTTAACACTTTCCCCAGTGATGCATGCGCCATCCGAAAAGGGTGACCCAAATGGCGTGAGCTCTCCTCGTCGTGCATATAGCCATTTCCGGTTGAGGTGCATAACAAAGTGCATATAGCTGTACTCTTATAAATATGGATTTTCTGGCCAACACGTGCTACCACGTATTGCCGCCCAGCAAGTTGGCATACTTTGTTATGCCGATTGGCCATGGTACTATGTACAGTCATGCAGATGCTCAATAGCTCCACCCGAGCGGGAGTCTTTCTCTCGGAAGAGCTTGACTATAGTCGGTTACAGGTTAAGAAGGTAGCGGCAAACGCCCCTCAAAGGGAATGCCATATCCCTCCGCCACCTCCGCATCCAATAGCGTCCCACCGTTTCCGTGACGTCGCGGCCAACGCGCGAGGAGGGTCTTGCCTTTCTGTACATATTTCCTTTATCTTTCGACTTCGACTGAGCATTGTGGAAGCCAGGAGAGGGAGATTAGAGTTTTCCCCCACCGACAGAAACAAATACGACTTTCGGGGATTAGCTTCCCCCCCGATGGATACAAAGGCTGCCTTCAGGGGCTCGGTTCCCTCTCCGATGAATACAAAGGTCGCTTTCTTAAAAAGTGGGATCGGAGACAAGTTGGAATCCATTGAAGCGGAACAAGGAGCGTTTCCAGCGAACTCTTCTTTCGACTGCGGAGAAATTTGAAACGGGCGCATCACGCTTGTGGGAGGAGCTTCTCCTACCTTCTTGACTTGTAACCGACTATAGTGGCTTACATTGGAATTAGCGCTCGCATCAGGACTCGCCCATGTTGAGCGGATAGAGGGAGCTCATCAACGTTGACTGCCGTTATCATCTGCGCCTGTGTCACTGCGGTTTTAATTGAAAGGGGAAGAGGATTCTCGAAACTGCAAGCTCAGCGACCACTTGTTTGAGCGCGAGAATAAAAAGTCAATTAAAATAACTATGAGCCCTTTCTTTCAGCGGTTTGGAACTGATTGTATTACACTCAATTTCTTTTTTTGAAAGTGTTTATTTTTCGCGATACATGTGTGTTTCCTTGAGTTGCGGCCCATCGCAGCCGCTGGCGATGACGCCAGCTACCATTGCAATAAGATTATCGTAATCGTCTTATTACACACGTATCCCTTCCCACGGCAGTGAAAAACAGCCAAAACACAACTGTGTAATGTAGCCTTAAAGCCTCACACACAGCTTTACAAAATTATAAACGGCAAGTTCGTGGGAAAAAAAAATTACCAATAAGTAAAGAAGAAAAAAAACAAAAAAAGACCTCGGTCAAGAAAATGGTTCATTTCGTTGTTTCTAGAATCCTCACTCGCTTTCGATCAGACTGTGGTGACTGAGGCTCAGATGATAACGGCAGTTTGCGTTGTTTAGCTCCGCCCTGTCTGGTCCGCATGGATGAGTCCCGGTGTTAGCGTTAGATCGAACGTTAGCCACCAGTCATGCGCTCCTCAGAAAAAAATGCCCGCTCGCATAGAGCTATTTACTTTCTGCATGACTTTACTAGATACCATGTGTGCTGTGTGCCACCCATCCACCCGCACAGACGTTGACTGAGTCCTTGATTAATATTTTCTCCAAAGTTTGGCACGTGTTCAACTTTCTTGAGTCTAAACTTTGGGCTGAATTATTGATTTAATGGCTTGCACGATTTTTATTAGATATCATTGGGGCTCACCCATTTGTCTAGCATACCTCTGGACAGTGTTCTATATAAACAAATAGAGAAAGTCAAACTTGTACCTTTCAGAGCAGTATGAGGAAATTAGTCCTTGTAATGCCTCAGGGCATTCTATCATACCTTGTTATTACAAAGCTTTGCTATCATGACTAGCACAGCTTTGTAATGACATATTAGTTCAGTCATAAAGGGCACTTGGCTTGTCAAAAGACACTGACTGCTGTAGGCAGGGGGCCGCACGTGCCACCTGTGAGCAGAAGCTATCATTCTCGGTCGTGATAACGGTTCAGCAGTGGCGGTTGGTCAGCCAGATGACTCCCACGTGCCAGGATTACGATAGACTGCATTATGGGCATGAGAATGTTACCCCAGGCGCCCAACTTGAAACAGTTAGCTGAGAAACATGCCGGTTAAAATGGCACCGGACATGACATGCCCTAATTTTCATCAAGGGTTTATTTTAGTGCTGCGCATTACCTTGTCAGATTTCAACGCCAACTGCCATTACTGAGTACTAGGCCTGGCTAGATTAACGTTTCATCCTCCTATTGAGAGGCAATGCCACAGGCCATTCAAGGCAGTAAATGCGAGTGATGCATCCTCGGCAGGCTCACACAATCCCATTTTTCTTCTCGTCCTGCGGTATCTTTACTGTGAATTGATAATTTTTTAGAGCATTAGATAGATAAGTTCAGTCTGATCGGCTGCCACCATCATTCTGTTTCCCAGTGGAAGCATTTTGTGCCAGCTCGCAAAAGCAGCGCCGAATACGACTCTAGGCACATCTCTGTTGCCTACGTTGACGCCTGTTGTGAAAGTTTACATATGTGCTGTTATTTTTTTTTTCAGCCTGCCTTCTATATCTTTGCTTTTACATTAATTAATCTTTTTCTTCCATGCTTTCCATAGCAACAGTGGTGTAGAAAGAAAATGATTGAATTGTGTTATAAAATAATGGACCTAAGCTCCATGCTAGAGCAGTAATGGCAATTTATTTCAACTCCTTTTTCTAAACATTTTGTTTTGTATCTGCAATGTCTCCAGGATGGTCAGTCAACCTCTTCACACACTGCGCAGACAGATCACGGAGAGAAGACTACTTCCAAAAAACGCCGTATTGAAGAGCAGCATTTAGACGGCAAGTGATGTGCACCACTATTGTCATGTTGCGTTTGAAGGGGCACTCCGGAGCTTTCTGAGATGGCCTATTCATGGCCGTAACTCAATTTATGTGCCCTAAGCATCCCAGAAATTCAATAGATAAAATCATGTGCAACCTATTTCACTATTTAAAACTATTGATTGTGACTGTTAAAATGTTTACTCAAACTTCAATTACTACTCTGTAGCAACAGCCCTGACACTTTAGTTGTAATGTCTTCTTTACTCAGGATCGCAGGGCACTGTTCCTATAACGTTGTATGAGGCTCAGCGAGCTAAAGCCAAGGCGCTTAAGCAAGAGGTGAAGCGTCTCCGGCTGGAGCTTGATGAGGAAAGGAGCCTCTCCAGAAGCATACAGACCATATTCCTGTCAAGACTACGTAAGTTAATTCAGCATGACAATATTTTATGCCATATTGCTGTCCGCGGTGCCGAACATCAATGCCCGGTAACTTTGTGTTTATTCTCGCTCGCGCCGTAACTTATATCGTTTCATCCTACATACTTGTTCTGGAAACTTCCTGCTCATTCTCACCACAAATGCCCGACGCTGGAACCTGTGCCGAATGTTTGAAGCATCGATGTCGCGCTAGATAAGGAGCCGCGCATGACCTTGTCGAGTCAGTCTTGCTTCTCACTGCTGTACGCGGTGATTTCTTTCTTCTTTTGTTTGGCACAAGTTTGAGTTACCCAGTCATCATCTCGGACTCTGCGCCTGGTCTTTGTGACAATATGTGTTAATTCTTTCTTCGCATGGTAAGCTTGGAATTATGTATTGGATGGTTGTACTATCGCAGACAAAAGTTCTCAGGACGCGCGAGAGGTGATTGAAGTGTATAGCTGTGCCATCTGCCGGTGGCTCGCCTGATTTTTAAACCACAGGAGAGCGCATGTGAGTCCTACTGTGCTTGCGGACATATGTGCTTATTCGCTCTTCTGCGGGACCATACTTGCCACAGTGTATGGTGCAAGGCTCCGCTTCGGTGGCCGCTGGTGATGAACGTCTACAGCGGATGCAGCAGCTAGAGATGGCGCTTGCAGCTCGTATCGCTGGCCATTAGCAAGTTGGGTTTCTGAATATGGCGATTCTATGTTTTTCTTGATGCCGCAATTATTAGGACAACCTTCCTGATAAAGCACCTATAAAGCGACAAGTCACAGCAGGTGAACTAAGGAATAAGATAATTTAGTTCCAATGTCAGAGTTCACTCGTCTCACATGAAGCACTGCAAAGCTAAAAGCGCTATCATCAGTTGCGACATCTCACGCCAGATTCCGCCAGAATCACCGCAATGCAGAGAAGCGGAAAAACTTGCATGCCTGCAAGCCAGCCACATAGCTAGGGGGGGCATAGAACCTGCCCCCCCGGAACCAAATCCTGGTTACGTGCCTGCTGCATGCACAGTAGGGCACGCATGCGCTCTTCTGTTGTCTCGAAACCAGGCGAACTGCTGGCTGACGGCGCAGCAGTGCGCTTCACTTGCCGCTTGCGCCTCCTCGGGTCTTTTGTCTGCGATAGTTCATTACAAAAAGATTAAGTGGCACCACATCATTTCTGTTTTTGTCCTAATACTACATTGTATCAGTAGTAGCGGGAAGAGCAGGTAGCAGAGTTCTGAGTCCCTTGTATTGGTAGTCTGATTACATATCCTTTTTTTTTTTAACAAGGTACCAAACTTCATAAATGGAGAAAAGGGATTGTGTTGCAGCAATTAGTGGTTAAGTGACACTGCCTCCTGAGAGAAGTTTTGGACAGGGCCAGAATACCTCGAACGATTTGAATGGTTTTGGATAGCTTCAGAACATCGTAAGGACCAAATGCACAATTGTGGGCAACAACGCACCTTGGAAACTGCATGCTGTCATAAAAGCAGCAAGGAAGTAACCCTGGTTCAGTTGCTTTCTGGCACTTGAGAGAACAGCCTGGACAAGACACACATGTTAAAAAATACATTTTTCATGAAACAAGATTTCAGTTGGAGTAATATTTAAAATGCGAGTTGCCAATTCCTCCACTTTTTTAATGTACGGTGAACCCAGCCAGTCCCGCCCATTGCTGAGGTGGTACGCCACTTTGTGGGATTTTGCTAGCTACCAACTAACACAGGTATCGATAGAGTAACCAAAGGGTTGTCTCAACAGCGGCGATATCTCAAAGGAGACGTCAAACCTAGTAGCCCGCGGTCCCTACATCTCCGCGGCAATGTAGACGACGTTTAGGGCTACATTACCGCGGGTCGGTTCGATTAATTACCTCTGTTGGTGCCAATGATCGTCTACCTTGTCTCACTCTCTCGAATATAGCGGAAGAGAAGACACACGTACCAAAGTAAGGACAGAGTCCAAGAGCATTTATTACATACTCTTCTATATGAACTACAATGTCCCCATCCAAAATGACCCCCGCGCCGGCAAGGTAAGAAAAGGTCCTTACCTGGCCAGACGCGGGGTTCCGGAGAGCCAAGACCGGGGAAGCGTCGGAGAAGTCGCCGACGCACGTCCTCTCTCTTTCGCCGTCACTCGGACGAGTCCCTTTCCCGAAAGCGGGAAAACAAGAGGCGAAACCTCCTCGCCTGTCAGCAGTGATCCACATCCGAGCGGGGGTACGGAAAGAGGTCCCCCCGGGAGAGAGTGAGAGGAGGGCCCCCCAAACCAGTCGGCCCTCCGCCTCACGAACAGGTCGGAGCTGACGGCGAAGGAGCCGAGTGTTCCGACCCGCGGCCGTTATCACAGCCATCGAGGAAGGGAGACCAGAGGAATCCCCACAACTTTCATGAATCAAGCAACTTTCTAGCCAATGTAAAAGTACAGACCTGGCCGATTTGGCTGCATCACTCCCCCGGAAGCACAGGAATTAGCTGCACAGCAAAATGAGTCTCAAGCCGTAAACATTCTTCCGATTACATTTGCTTTTTATGCGAAATGCATCTTTTTACATGCATGTCCTACTCAGGCTTTAAGTATTTTTTCCTTTTATTAGCATAACCCTACAAGGCTGGTCCACATATTTTTGCTGAATTACAACCTGCTGCAACTAACTGCTTACAGCCATGATAGTTCGGATTGCTATCACAACAAATTCCCTGAATAAAACTAAATCTGGTTTCACATTATTCATCTGAATGGTAAAGTAAATTGATTATAGATGTAGTTTTCATTGTTGATAACTGTAAAAAGGTAAATAATGTCTTTTATTTAAGGCATGGAAATCAAGATGCTTTTACTGTGTGCAAACCTAAGAAATACATTGCAACAACCGATCATCTCTGACATCAGAATAGCTTGAACCCCACAACCTGCTGGGATCTATTCAAAGTAGCTCTGGCCTCAAAACATATCCCCTTGTACAATATCTGCTATGATTGTGGCTAGATGCCTCCTTGCATTTTGAAGCAGTAAATGCTTTGCTAATGCTGGCCAGTGGGTCAGTGTATCAGACACCATCTTGTATACCCCATCATAAGCAACAGTCTCACCAGTTGTGACATGACGGAAATGTTTGAAATAGCTGTTAAAGCGGGTAGAGTGCCAGTTTAGAATCTCCTGGGATGTACAGCTCATGGAGGATACAATTTTTGTGGCCTTCGCAAACAACAACAGGAGCGGAGTCGTCTTCTGCGGTGTCTGCTCCAGCAGCTCCTGCCTGCTTCAGTGGAAGGCTCCCTCTGCCGCTAGAGCAACCAGTCCCTAAGGAGCCTCAAGGAGCGGCAAGGGAATGTCCCCTCTCCTTACATGGAACCTCAGTCTTGGACTATGATGTGAGCAGCCCAGAAGAGCTGTGCCTGGAACCTCCTGCTGCCAAGGTCTCCGCGGTCGTGCTGTTAAGAGAACCCGATGAGATTCTGACACCAAGCCAGGCTATCGAGAAGGTACAACCCTCAGCCAGCGCCCAGCTGATGTTGCCACCACCCCCTCCTGTGCCGGTTGCCGCTGGGAACCCTGATCAAGTAGGCTGACCATTTCTGGTTTTGTAACCGTATCCGACTTATCTTGGCAATTTCTTTCAAGATAAACATATTTAAAGTACTGCTGGAGATAGTCTAGCTATGTGCAAAATTTATTGTAAATTTTAGGCATTCATGTGACCATTCGAAATGCTGCAGTCCTTTTGCATTTGGTTCGGAGACCTGAGTGGATTCATCAAAACTAACGCCCGGCGGGGCTTACTTTCGATGTCCAGGATGCGCGCGTGTGAAGAAAGCCAATGCGGTGGTCATTTTTTTTTTAAATAGGCTTGTGAACAATCTGAATGCCCTCCTTCGCTAGCACCCGTGCCAGAGCTTCACTTGTTCTTTTCACAAGGGAACAAGTGAAGCTGCAAGTTGTAGTCATTGCATTGCAAGTTGTAGTCATAGACACGATGCAGGTTGTAGTCATAGACACGCAAAAAAAAACCACATCGGCGAACAAAAAAATTTCCCGCGCACGCACTTACCTTTTTATTTTTGACATATATATTTCCCGCCGCTTACCTCCTTGCTTCTTTTGATCGGTGACATCAAAAATCAGAAAATTTAGAAGCTTTTTAGGTGACATTTCTACATTTAATAACGGCAATCGTAAGACATGTTTTTTAACGCAATTGCACACGCACTACGGCCCCTCTTTTTGAAATACCAAAAATCGGATGTCACTTACTGGATTTGTGTTCTCCCTCGGAAAACTTGGTGGCGGTCGAGCAGAGGATGATCGGCGAGTCGAGGAAGAAACCGATTTTTCCCGCGCCGGCACGGGGGAAAAAAAAAATTTATCTCCTTTGCTTATTTTGGGAACATTTTGAAAGTAGGGGTTAGGCCCTTCTGATATGGGCACACCCTTGGTATTGTACAGTATACTGGTGTACATTTTTTAATCCAAATTTTATTTTTAGATAAGGGCTCACTGCAATCTGGATGCCATTTCCACAGACTGTTGGTGTAACTGGTAGACATTAGATGGGTGGATATATAACCATGGCAATATTTTGACTAATTAACCACAATTTATTCATTAACTTTTTATAATTGAAATTTTAATGGCAGCCATTATTAGGTTCTCACCTAATTTAAACAGTCCACAAACCTACAGGGGCCTTGAAATATTTATTGAGTTCTCCATTTTCTTCACCCAATTCAAGAACCGCTCACGATTCTGGATTCGGTGAGTGTATATTCTAGCTAGAACGAATAGGGATGCTGTGAAATGGATGTCCGCATGAGCTTCTTGAAAGTACATGGCTTAAAATGACTACACCTACCTTTTTGACACTTGAATGAAACGGGGATTCTGTGACGTAACATCCTGGAAAACGTATTAGTCTAGTTCTTCTCAGTGATAGCTTTTTAAACTGCTAATCCCAACCATTGTAATTCTCAATTTTTCTGCAGGTTGATCTGGGCAGTGGTGTTTCAATGACGGCAGCGCAGTTTAATCACTGCGCTGATAAATCTGACACCGATTCAAAATTTGTGAGAAATGCTTGCCTGGCAATGGGGACAGAAGAAGAGCTCCTTGCTCGGAGCGTGACAGGGAACCGCTCCCGGCGTTTCCTGAACCAGGGTCCGGAGGAGGACGCTAAGCTACCTATGACCCCGAAGAAGCTGGAGGCAGTTCGAGGTAGGTACAAGCTTGCTTTTCACTAACAAAATAATCTGAGTAATCGCGGTTTCCCTTGTCGAAGCAGATGATAGAGAGGGGGGATGTTTACTTGGTACGAAATAACCATGCAGTCTGTTGAAAGTGTTTTGAAGAGACAACTTTTCTGGAGCATGAACTGATTTCTGAGTTGGCTGTTGCATGACTTTGCACTTGCATCCAAATTTACTATCAGCTTTATTCATAATTGTAACTGCAACCAACTTTTGATTGACTTTTGAATTTCTTTGCTTTGACAATGCCTCGTTGCCCTTGTGATTGTGAAACTCTTTGCAACATAAAAAGGAAGCATTGATGCAAAGCTATATGTGCTGCTGGAGACTGCATCCAGCAACCATCTTGCTCATGTGTCATTCATTGCTTAATTTGATGTTGGAAAAGGTTTCTTGTGCAATTTTTTAAAAACCACGTTCTACGGTGGAATTTGTTTATAACAAACAGCTCGAAAATTGTGTAAATGCAGTGCAGATGGCACAGTAATGAGCTTCTATTGCGTGGCTGTTCTTTCATAATAACTCTTATTTGAAACCATTTCATTTACTGGGGTCTCGAGGAAACGTTCAGCATAGCTTGTTTATTAAGCTTATAGCATACCTTGCAACGGCACTCTTAACCGTCTCTACCCTATTTAGTTCTGCGTGCGCAATTTCACGGTAGAGACGCCATGAGACGCTGATTTGCTCCAGGTTGGGAGTGGTGCAGTGCAATGTTTCTAATGCCTACACAACCAAGTTTTACGGTCTTGTGCACGAACCGCTTGCGGACAAACTCGGCGGTAATTTGGATGTCCGTCAGCTCACCCATGGATACTGGTTGGCACCTACAGAAAGGCCAGCCTACTCCACGCTTTCTTGAGCTCGCAGAGATCTGGTTTCAAATTGGCAATCGTTGCTTCGACCTTGTCGAAGGAATGCTCTAAACATTTCTGTGACCCAAAAGTTGTAGGTCTATTCAATGAACGAGTATGACTACTCCGCTGCGTTTTACGTGGTGCTTTCGGTACCATGTGCTTGAGCGCGGGCGTCGCAGGCGCCAGCGCGCCACTACTGTCTGCGGGGAAGCCTACTGCATGATATCAGGAGCGCGCACAGCGCACCGCTTTCCACGGGTGTACAGCGGGGAAGCCTGATGCATGCATTAGGAGAGTGCGGCCCGCCACTCGAGATTTCGACATATCCGATGTAGGGTTCGTTATTCGAGATATAGTTTTCATGCATATTGATCGATAAGTTTTGGTTTGATATAGGACATAATTCCCATTATGTGAGTTAATTATAGTGTAGGACTGTAATAGTTGTGCCTTCTATTCTTTCGTTTTTCAGTGGCCTTTGGCTTCTTCATTGGTGAAGGGCCAGAAGAAGTTGTAAAAAAAAGAATGGCCAAAATGAATTCTTACGTTGCAACATACCTGCAAGATAAGAGAAGCAGGGTGAAGAAGGAGCTCAAGAAGAGGGCAGCAGCAGCGATGGCGGCAGCGCAGGCACCCACAAGCGAGCTAGTGGTGGCAGCATCGCGTACCTAATCATGCTACTTCCCTGTTGCAGAGCGGGCTTTGCCTAAAATAAAGGTAACATGACTTTCTGAGAGATTCATTTGTCCAGCCAGCATATGTGGATACCACATGAAATGCCTAAAATGAATTTTATGACCTGCTCATTTAATGAGCCCTCATTTTTGAACGAGAATATGTACAGGTTCCGATATTAAAATTCGTACAACCCCACGTATTAAATGGGAACTTTTACGAGTTCTCATATCAAATGAGAGCTCATACGAATCCACGTATCAAATGAGAAATCATACGAGTCCACATATCAAACGAGAATTTATATAGCTTCTCATATGAAACGAGGATTCTTATAAGTACTCGTATCAAATAAGAATCTCGTTTCTTCTCGTGTCCGATAAACACATATGAACTTCTCGTACATACGATTTTTTTCAGTAGGGACGCTTCTTTTGGCATATTCGATTTCTTAACCGGAACCTGGAAAAAGTTTGGTTACACTCTTCAGTTGCTGGAAAGCACCTAGACAAGTTTAGCTGTTAATAGTGTATTAACGGACGTGGTTGTCAAATCAGAAACAGATAGTGCGTATTAATTAAGCGGTGCAGCTTGCACTTGAAAAATTTGTTTCCCTTATTTCGAGCAAATGTGCATCACGGCCCTTTTGCAAAAGTATTTATCCACTTTCTACAGAATTTCTATGGAAAATAGTGTATAGATGATAGGGATGTTAGAAAGAAAATGTATTTACTTTCGTATCCACCTTCAATAGTTTTTAGTCGGTTTTTTAAAGCCAAACTTCCTTTCTGATCAAATGTATTTCGAGGAATGTTTAGGAACGTTGCATCTTGTCAGATTCCGAATAGAGTTCTCAGTGTTTCGTATTGGCTCACCCGCAGTGTGTTTCAGGCTATGCCGATTCGTATGTTTTATAATAGCCGGGAATTGGGAATTCGTACTCTTCGCTGTGTGCTTTGCACTCTTATTATGCTGCTTTGACTGGTAATGATAGCGATGGCTTATTTATATCTGGACTTACTTCCCGAGCCCGAGTCGGCGTGAAAGAGAATGGACCATTCAACATGTTCCCTGTGGAACATTTTTGTTAACTTGGTTCCGCTAAAAATCTATTACGAAGTGTACGATATACCGAACTCCCTCAAATTCATTTATTTCTGCGAGTATTTCTATCTCTTCCTTATAGAACATATAGAGCGTCTGAAATAAATCCTGTATATACGAATTTGGTCCAATAAAATATCTTCGAACCACTCAGTGTTGTTGACCCCAAAATGCTCCACCAGTCAGGAGTCAATGTGGAGGTTGTGTAACTTCAATGTTTTACAGTAGAAGAAACAAACAAACAAGATATACGAATCTGTCTTGAGAAGTAGATATTTTATTTTTACACATTTTGCACGGATTATATCGTAAAAACTAAAATAAAACTGCGGCAACATTAAAAACAAAAAAGCGGCTCCGGGAGTCGAAGAGTTCCCGAGAGGGTAGCGAGGAGCGACGCAAGGAGGAAAGATGGGGAGAAAGAGAAGGACAAGGATACCGGAGAACCGGAGCAGAAACGCCCAAACAGAAACCGAAACTAACTTGACCGGAACCGGAACTAGATCATGTTTAATGCCGCCCGCTGGTAGCGCTAGCTGTCACTCGTCTATCTAGGCCGCTGGGCCTATGGCAGTATCCGCTTTTTACCTTGTGTATATTATTACTCTATGGAACGGCAACCAGAATCCGCCTCTGCGCCTTCAGTCGGCTGCGGGCCGCTCTCAAGAACCACACTTTTGCGCATGCGCGTCATTATGTGCAGGCAGTAATGTCTCTTGTACTCGCTTCCGGCTGGCGCGTACGAGATAGCCGGTCCCGGCACAAGATGGCGCATTGTAAGCCGTCATCTTGCACGTCTGCCTCAGCTAACGGAGTAGGTGACGTAGCTCGCGGGCTCTATATATTGTTTCGCCGCACCTTTTGCCCTTCCCTGTTATCTCGTGTGCGTCGGACGGAAGCGAATAAAATAAATACACTTGACTGCGAGCACCAAAGAAAGCGCATTCTCAAAGCGTGGGTTTTGACAGCTGCCGCTGGCCGTCAGAAGGCGCAACAAATCATTTCGGCTGGCGCTCCCGTGTCCCGCAAACGTTTGCTTGCCGACTGTATTTCTTGGATATGAAAAATTAACACCCTAAAGACCGACAACCAGTTCCGCGTTCAACTTTTCCCCCTCTTCCTCCTCTCTGCTCTTCTACCTTATCTACTGTCGCCAGCGTCCTCCTCCCCTATTGTGAGGAGAATGTTCTGACTTAAAGAATCTCGTGTCTGGTCCCTCGGCCTTGAAACTTGCAACGATAACTACATGGAAAATATGGCTCTAAGCTCTTAAAGAGTAATGATTTTTATTCTCTATACAGTAATTTATTAATATTACGTCTTTTTTAAGTCTACATGGGTGATCTAATCAAAATATTTTTACTTTTAAGCTTGACCGTTCAAGGAAACCGCTCGAAAGGCTCCCGGTACGGTGAAGAAAAAAAGAGAGCATTCAACCTAAAACAAGAGCTATACGATGAAAAGGGTAAATGATACTCGTGGGATACATTGAATTCCTTCGCTGAATTATGAAAAGATACTTCCTAAATATTTTTTTTGTTGGTCTTCTAAATGTTATTCATGTTATTAATGCGATTTTGTTCCAAATACTTTTTTAGAAATTAAGGTATAAACTCGCTGGACGTAGTAAAAAGGCTTACAATGGTTCCTTTCTCTGGGCCCTAGTACTGAAAATTGACTACTGCAAATTAGAAGGACCAATGAGGACATTTAGCTTTTCCCTGAAGATAGTAACACCAATAAATCCTTGCTCTCTTTAGATCATAGAAGAGAAATTAGTTTTAGTTTTAATGAGCGCCCATATACTTCAATTAAAAACCGAGCTGGATTTTCTTCTCACCCCTGTTGGAAAATTTTGATGATGGAAAGACGACGGAAAAGGCTCATACAAGCGTAACCGTAATATGGGACATCCTATACAAGCGAATCGGCGGATCCAGTATAGTGGATTAGAGCGGAACGATACAGGTAGGCGGAACCATACAAGCGTGTCGTATTATGGGACATTCTATACCAGCGTAGTGGAATATGGCGGAAACATGTGGAACCATACATGCATAACGTAATATGGGACAACCTATACCAGGCAAAAGGTGATACCAGCACGGTGGAGCCATATGGCTCCAACATGCTGGTTTCGCCTTTTCACTGTTGTACAGGGCGATTTAGTTTTAAGCTTTACATATATGTTTAGAAAGGTCGTGAAAGCTAAATCAATGCGTTTTGTCCAGGCGAGTTATAC